TATATATATATATATATATGTGTATATATATATATATATGTGTATATATATATATATATATGAATTTAAGTCTAATTCAATTTTATAAAATAGGTTTGTAAAGTAAAGTTTACCTCCATTTATATATTATAAATTAGTCTTATTTTTAGTTGAGTGAGACTTTCAATAATTATCTCATGAAGTATTTAAATTATTATATCTAAATTAAAGTTTAAAACTTTATCACCTTAAAAGACTTCTAAGGAGGATGGAAGGAGAATGTCTACATAACTTATAACTTCAAAGCACTATGCATACAAAAACGATGTATTCTCATTCCTGCAGAAATTGCAAGGCTCTTGGGAGAGCTACTCTGCACATCACTATGAGGAAGAAGGCTCGAATTTTCTGATGAAGAAAACTTCGAAGCAACTTTGGACTTTACTACATCAACATCACTCTTCCAACTTCTGGATCACATGTAAAAGGGTGTTGCTGAGAAATCCCAGATATAGATAGGATATATAAGAATCTAAGTGCGATTTGAGTTTCATACTAAGTAAATATATAAAATATTAAATAGCATATATTAAAAATAAATATAAGTTCATTATTTTAAGCTTTTAAATTGAAATTAGGATTAAAACTTCTTATATAGGTTTACTCGTAATAATTCATTAATGTCTGATATACAAGAACATGTCATGAAAGACGTTTCCAAGTTTTATAGATTCTGAAGCTTGAGTTTTTTTACAACATTTTCCTGCAGAGCTTGTTTAACTTTTAAATTTGTTTCTCAATCAAGATTTATGGTTCAATAAGCAAATTATATCGTCATAACTTGATGAAAGTAAAGATTAGATCAGCAGAGAAAGATTCATGCTTTACAATTTTACAATGTCTCCAACTTTCAAATCCTTTCGTTTAGAACAAAAACACCTTCTATGTGATGCATTTTTCTGTTCTTCATATCTATATCCTGATATCACAAGCCTATATACGAGACTTAAAATAATTAATTGGAGCATAACAAAACAATCGAGAGAAATGTAGAATTGTCTGGTAAGGAAAAGTTGACAAAAACAGATACAAAATGAGAAATACTAAAGGCAAACTCTTAAAAATTCTTTTGCAGCAATTGAAGTGACAATTATTATGTCACTGACACATTTTTTATGAAATGCTTAGCACTTGAGTATCTTCAGTAGGCATATTTCACAAATGTTTAAAAGGAAAGACAATTAGCTCCATCAGAGGAATACATTCGTGAAACAGTTGTTTTCAAAACTTCATGTAGAGGATTTATTACATTTCCTGCATGCAATAAAAAACATCAAAGAAATATCACTTTTTTCCTTTCTGTTGGTAACAAAAACAAGACAATTATATAAATAGATATCCATTTCCAAACTTGCTGATTTAAAACAAAAAGAAATCTATAAAGAATACTACACGACTTCTGCTTAAGTCTGAGAATACTGAAGATGAGTTATGCCCCTTGCCCAACTTCTGTTTCAAGTCCAACTACATTAAATCTATTATCATAATTTCTTATTGGAAAAAGAAACTTCAATAATCTGAAAGCATTGTTTCATATCTCTCAACTTAGTCAGTATCTGAATTCATAACAGCTACGCTCTAATTTTCAGTATAGTAAAAGATAGGAAGCGAGCATTGGAAAAGGGTATGAAGTTGATATCCAACCCCTCAAAAGTCATAAAAGAATTCTTGAAACAACTTCATATGCTCTGGTGGTAGGGGGATTGCCAAATACAAACTGCCATCATTTCCTGAGCTTGGAGTTGAGTGTTAGCCCCTCGTGCGGAATCCACCCAGGTCTCATGAAGATTGGTCTCCCCAACCAAAGTCAGCAGCATCATAGATTGGATACTTAACCCAGCCATTGATACCAACATTTGGACTCCCAAAAGTATGTGGTCCATGAACCAGAGCACTTGGATCAAGCTGTAGCTGTAGATAGTTAAGAGCTCACCTCAAATATTCGTTGTCCATTCTCATTATTGCATTGTGGATTTTGTTTGCAGCATACCATGTAAGTTTTGATACCAGATCCCCTACCACTGCTGTGGGAATAGTGGAGATGAGATTGCCAAGGTAACCAGGAGGAAGAGGAGGTTGCAGCCTTGACCTTCCATCAATTGGAATATAGAGTCTGCTTTCTTGCTCATCGAGAAAGCCTCTTGCTTTGCACACACTTCTCCATATATGTGCTGCCAACATCTCATAAGTGGTATAGTTGATTGTGTTGCCATCTTCTTTGGACTTGGCCTTGAGGATGTTGAGTTGGTCACCACACACTTTTAAAATAGAAGCAACCACATTAGTGTTGGTGGTGGTAGTAGCAGTGGTGGTGCTAATGACGGGTCATGAGAGCTGGTATTCATGGTGAGGAAAGGTTGAGGTAGGTCCCTGGCACGAAGTAGGATCCTGTCAATAAATGGAGGAACAGAAATGTCGATGCCACGAGCCGCATTGGACCATACATTGATGAAGAGAAGACCCGATGCTCCATCTGCTACAGGTGTTGCGTATCAACACCTAACGAGACCCCTCCAAATTTGAAATATGTTACCTGAATACATGAAGTGTAGTGCAGTAAATATGAGTTTTATGTTATCCTTGAAAAAGAGAAAGAAAAGGCACGCACCTGTAATACCACTATCGGATATGTTTCAATGCCAGCAGAATAATCCACCGCGGGAATAAGGTTACGATGGTGAAAGGTGTGAGTGAAGTTGTCCATGGCAACGGTTGCATGAGCCTCAACGAAAAGTACACCCTGACCGTCACAATAAATCTCCACGCAGTGGTCTTCACTGTGACGGGCGACCATTGGGTAGAAAAGGACGAGGGTTTTACTGAGAACTTCTTTCAGAATGTTGGCATTGAAGAAACTGGAAGCCCCGTTTGATCTGTATAAATAGACGCTGGGATTGAGGTAATTCCTCACCAACAAATCTATGAGTTCCACAACACCTTCCGCAGTGTCGCCTCCGCAGGTTGCGCCATTATCGACTCCTTCACACCAATAGTCATCAATCTCAGCTGACAACTGCATGCCACCATTTTCATGCAAAACCAATACATTATATATAGCCATAATATCCCTGGCTACAAATATCATAATTCAATCAATGCTCTCACCAACTTAAACTTTCAACCAACTTTCTAAATCAGTACTACTTGTTATTTATGATCTCCATTGTGGCACATGGTTTTGAAATGTGTTATACGATATCTTCTTATTTAGAACGCAACAGTTGATATTGTAAATTGGAATGATTATCTTGGGTAGATGTAAAAAGTTGTTTTTAGTTATTGTTGTTGTTGAATATGTTTCTGGATTTCCTAAGATTTTATTCCCATTACTTTTCTTTTCTTCCGTCATATTTTCTTTTCACTCAAATGATACAATGCATATAGATTATCGTATTAGCAACTTGAAATTCATCTTGTATTTAAGCTTTCATAAAATTCTCTTGAATTACAGTCTGACACGTTGCCTCCATCGTCAAGATATAATGTCATTAAGTATTAGAAATTCATTTTCCCCATATTTATTAGTACTACTATTTGCAACTGCGGAGAAGTAATGGCTAAAAGACACAGAAAAAGGAGCTAACGAGCGAGCAGAAGTTAATCACCGCCCAACCCACAACTCTGCTGCATCTTTATTACCCAGCATCTCAACTCTATATGTAGACCCCATTTCACACCTAGGACTATTTTCTTAATTTCTACTTGCGCTAACATGGAGGTGGAGGCCTGCATTCAATGTGAAAAAAAAAATACAGGACAAGGTAGATCCCCGGCACAGAGCAGTGTCCTGGCGATGAATGGAGGGAAGGAAACAGTACTGGTTTGTGAAGAATTCATGGGAAATAACGAGGGTGAATCTGGCTATATTAGGATGAAGTGTGATACAAAGGATAAAGATGATGCTTGTGGCATTGCCATGCAGGCTAGCTACCCTGTCCAGCATTAAGCAGTATATCATGGAGGCTAATTGACTTGCAATACAATAATTATGGTTGTCGAAGGAATGAAATATGTGTCAGTTCAAAAAAGTATAGCACTAGGAAAAAAGAACTTAGCTCCACAATACAATAATTTCAAAACAGAAATAAAAATACAAGAAAAGCGAAGTTAAAAACTTACAAATGCCCTTCACGTCCTCTATAGTCTTCTTCTCTCATTGCGCATTGCGTGGAACCCTTTCCTGTCCCCAAGATCCATCTTAGTAATCAACCTACCTGTAAACCAGTAAGCCCAACAAAGGACCACCCAGTACCAGTGATAAGAATAAGTTTTAAGCGTTGGAGCCAGGCGAAAGTGAAGTTAAGCCATATTGAAGTCAAAAATTGAACATTCTGCGAAAAAAAAGAAGAAACTGGAACAATGCAGCACAAATTAAGAGGACAATGGATGCGTATACGTATGAAGGATGGATGGTGGTTTGGATGACTAGATATGTCAATAAAAAGTCAAACGAAGATGAGAAAGTGAGAGAACTTTCCGCGCAGCTGAAAGAAATGAACGCAAATGCTATGGCGATAATGTTGTCCAAAATAAGGAAGAAATAATTGTTTTTTTATGCCCATAATCCATTGTGACATATAATTGATCATTGAAAACCATAATCTATTATAAGTGTCGTAATCAATCATTAAACACCATAATCGATTATGGGAGTATTCCTTTCTCGCTTTTTTTATTATAATAATAATAATTAATTAAAAGATGATATCAATTTAATAAATAACAATAAATAAAATTATTAATAACAAAAAAAAAACTCTAATTTCTTTCCAACCAAACAATTTTTTTTCACTTATTTCTTACCACTTTCTCTTTCTTTCATTTTTTTTCTCCCTTTCTACCAAACGAAGCATTAGTTACCCTGTGACTGATTTCAATATTCTAGTGGGGTACAGAATAACCGAGTTATAATTTGGCTAAGTAGGAATATTAATTCCACAATTCAAACAAAAAACCAAGTTCTACAGAATATGCTCACCCCTTTCCATGCTTTGACTTCATAGATTATACACCCAAATGTTTTACAAATTCAAGATCCTCGTGCTGCATTGCTCTGCCACAAACCGTGAGATGATCTTCCAGCAATGTCATTGAGAAAAGAACACTGACACCATAAAAGTCACAAGTCTTTGCAAGTCACTCTATCGGCATTAAGCATTGTACTTGCGCCTCTAAATTTAACAGCTAAGATTTAAGTGCTGCAAATCTATGTCTCAACGCACAAGCTATCTTCCACTCATTGATACTGACCAAACCTTCAATAATCTTCTGTCTGACCGCTATATATGGTATGAAACCTCTTTCTGTCATCCCTGTTGCAACCTTTGCAGCCAAAACATACTCACATTTCTCCAAGCACCCTTCAATCACTAACTCATAACTCTCAAATCCAACGGAGTTACCCTCTTTCTCCAGGAACTCAATAATCTCAACAGCATTCCATGTCTCCCTGTTTGCCCGTAATGCTGCCAATAATTTCACTAGTATTCCCTGTCCTGGGGTTAAACCATATTGCACCACCATTTGTTTCAACAAATCCTGTGCCTCTGCAGTCTTTCTCACTCTGCTCATTGCACCAATTACCGTGCCATAACTATTTGAATCTGGAATGCATCCAGCCCCACCCATGCCATTAAGGACTTTAACAGCTTCCGGTAGTTGGTCAACAGCACAGAGAGATGATAGTAGATAATTACAAGTTCCACAATCAGGAGTATACCCAATTGTTTGCATCTGAAGTAAAATATCATCAACAGATTGGGACAGACATCGCCGCTCCAACCAAGCTGATGAGAGGAGAACACGAGTTTGAAGAACAGGAACGCAACCAGATCGTAGAGTCCGTTGTAGGATAGCAAGTGCAAGGGGGAAAGGATGGGAGCTTTGAAGAGTGTAAGAAAGAAGATAGGAATAAGCTAGCTGAGGCTTGGAACGTGGTCTGATAGGTATAAAAGATTGCAAAATTTCATCAACAATTTGTACTTGTACGTTCTGAGGAAATGAAGAAAAGAAAGAAAAAGGATTTGAATTTTGGCACGACTCCAAGGAAATGAAAAGGTCAGGAATTTTAACATAGTTTTTCGCTTCTACTTCCTCTCTCACAGCCTGCCCAAGATTTTGCAATGAAGACACTGAATGAGCTGAAGGACATTGGCTCAGAAAAGGCCGGAAGTGAAGAAGAAACCTATGCTGCACTGTTGCTCTTATTACCATTCTGGATCAACTAATATAGTGTCGGAGCACCTTCTGGCATGAGAGAAATGAAACCTGAGGAAATTAGCAGAAGAATACTTATCACTTTAATAGGGAAAAAGGGTGTGAGGAAAAAACAAATTGATAGATGTGGCTAAGCATTCACAAAATAAAATATAAATAACTTTTTCAGTATGCTTTACAGAGCAGTGCCTTTACACTGGGGGCATGAAACAAGGTTTCACTAGAAACTACCAACTCAACATTAAGGGCGGTTAAAGAAAGAAGTGAAATTATTAAACCACAAAATTGTGGCTAGTCATCCTCACATCATGACCAAAAAGCCAACATATCTGTGTATCAATGTATAGAATCCAAGATGAAATTAACGGATATAAACATACAATGTAACGATTAACAATAAACATATAACTAGGTTCAAAATAGCTCTCCTTGGAACATGGAACTGAAATAAATTAGCTAAACGTAACAATATCAGACAACAATAAAGTATTTAAGGGTGTTGCAAAGGAGGATCGGGTTGGATACCCGTATGTATAACAAGTTGTAAATGGTAAGTACAAGGATGTATGAAGTAGTCAAAGATGACATGATGGTAGTTATAAAAATGGCAATAATGTCAGCAAAGAATGTGAGTAAATGATTTAAAAAATAGACCTTTTATTAAAGGAAAACATAAAGTAAAAAAAAATCAACATCTTCATGCCAACCAAAATTTCATAATCTCATAATGAGTTTCAAACAGGGATTAACACAACCATAAAATTCATAACTTAGTATTACTTGTAATGAGCTTCTAAGAGTCTACGAGGTCAATGGGCTTTGTTGGGGCCCAAAAAGTTAACATGTGCAATCATTTTATCGAATAACTTGCACTCAAGTACAATCAACAAGCTTCAGTCCTGACCAAGTGAACCATCCCAATATTTGAATTCATCTTAACACTAGCAATTGTTTTCAAGCATTTCAATGAGTTACTTTTCTAAAGGAAAACAGGAAGGAAACAACACCTACAAATGTTTTGCCTTAGAGTTAAGTTTTTGAAAAGGAATACAACATTTACTTGCAGGAACTATTCCTAAAATACCATATTATATTTTGTGACATTTGCAGCTATATAAGTGTGTATTAATCTGGTTAATGGACATGTTTAAAGGATTGGAACTTGCCGTAACCGAAATCACGACAGTACAGCGAACTAAAAAAAGGTTTAAAAACGAGTTTGAAATCCTCACTATAGTTTATTCTAAAAGGCTATAGAAAATCATAAAGATAAATCAAGGTTTGTGTTAAACTGCTCTTTAGATGCTTAAATAGATCATTTTCACAACTATTGCCAATGAAAACTACTATTCCTTGACTTAATAAAGTCTTTCTGCTATAGCTCCAAAATGCAATCGGTAGCACAAAATTCTAGATGGCTGACATCTCTGGTAATTTTATATAATCAAATGGCCTCAAATTATTCTATGTTTTAATTTTAATAAAGAATAAACTTTATTATAATGACAATCAAGCCACATTATAGCATTAAACAAGCCTTTATTAACTTTATTGATGGCTTGAAATTGTTATTCTTGTCATCAAGCTTACAAAGGAAACTGATTTTTTCATCTGAGAGAACAGGAACACGATCAGAACACCCATCAATTCAGAGCCATTCCTCTTAAACCTCAGCATGAAACCAGAAATACAAAGTAATTCAACTCCTGGGTCTGCTTATTTTTATTAAACTAATGCATCTCAGTCTGATGGATAACAAAGAGATTCAGATTATGGATTCATTCAACTGGAGAAAATATTAACAGAAACAAGGGAAATAAGGGCCAGCATAACCACCCATAATAAGATGGTAAGATCAAGTGATCAATAAACTATAGTCTACTGACCTAATTCACTATTTTGGCAACTACAGGGTTCAAATGGGTAATTAAAGTCATAAATTGTAAACTTCTTGGATTTAAAACTGATTCAATAAAACAGTTCACTTTGGTATAACACACAATTGCATTCCACCTTCTTATTTACTGCTCCTACAAGTGGAGAGTATTTACAGAGAAGTTCATAAAAAAAATGAAGAATGAAGAATCAAGAGAATTACTTAAGAGCGAGGCAGATGTAAGAACTAGAGGATCAGATCCCTGAACCCCTTCATTGCCCCCTTCATTGCCAAGTTCTGTAATTGTCTCAAACACTTGACTGACTGAAAGAACTGCTCCATCTATGAAAACCAGGACAGCACGGCCTTTCTTTGCACCATCCTACAATAATCAAAACTTAAATTTAAAACATTGAAAGTTAAAGATGTTCACATCTTTCTATCCTCACATAGACAGCAAAATATTTTAGCATGAAAGAGAAATAAAAAGAATACAAAACCAGCTATGAAATAATCAAATGGACATACATACACTTTAACCGAAACAACACAACTATGAAACAATATCCACCCGCAAACTTGGAGAAACAAAACCAGCCATAGGATACAAGCCAAACAGAATATTAGTTCAAGCAATGTACTTCAGTACATTCTGCTAAGCAATGAAGTTAAACTTCCAGATATCTGCACAAAGTAGTACCTAATAATAACATTTTACTAAGCCAAACAACAAATCTAAAAGCACTCATATCAGAGACAGTTTCTTTGTCCTAATAATTTTCACATGCTAATGAAGTTTACATTTATAGTGCCCAGATAATTTCAGCAGCCAAATAGGATTTAACACTCTGCCCTACAGCTACACGGCCTATCCAATGTAAAACTAAGTCAGTAATAGGTTCCAGTCATTACACACATATCATATACATAACGTACAAGCAATGAGACCAATGAAACCCAAAACAGATTTGCACCACTTCAATTTCTAACCCAAACAGAGCTGTACCATTTCCGTTTTGCGTCCTATATTCATCCGACGCCTTAATTTCGAAGCTAAAACCACACATTCTTATAGTAATTAAAATATTCTTTTACAATATGAGGAACATTTTAATAGATTAAATTCAGTTCATTTTTAATAGATTAATCTTGGTACTTATATGAAAGAATTATCTCAAACTATTTTCATAGAATCAAATTATGAATATTTGTCTATGAAAGCTAAACTACAAGGATGGAAAGAGCAAAAACATCGCATCTACTGTCAACTGAATTCCGTCAAAACACTAATTACTATACTACCTCCAATCACAACACCACTTGATTCCAAATGGAAAATGAGATCAAAAATCAAATAATATATAGTTCAACACTTATTCAAAACGCAGATCACTTTGACGCACCTTAGGTTCAAGATTTCAGCTCGCCAAAAATCCTTCTCCTCCACTTAAAATGCTTAATCACGAAGAACTAATTGGGAACCCAAACCAAAATATTAATCAGCACATGAGGCTTCAATCAACAATGTTGGAAATGGGGCTTCAATCACTTACCTGGACGCTTCAAAAATCCACCTAGTACGAAATAAAACCCTTCGCCTCGCAAAGTCCAGGTTTTGCCACTCACTGGCCTCCCAATCGTGCCTCCCAACCACCACTCCGTCGCAGAGAAGGGAGCTGCATCGGTGTTCGCAGAGAAAGGGGCGACTCGCCCTACACTCTTCTTCGAACCCTGGCGTCGTTCGCATACATAGGCAGCGAACCTTTAATGGCGGCAGCCTTCAACGGCGGCGAGCGCAGTCTGATGGGATCCGAAGAAAATTGTGATTAAGCAAATAGGACCGCAGTTAACTGTTCTCAAAATAAAATAAGTTCAGTATTTTTGAACTATAAACTAGTTTTAGTAAAATTAGTTTTAGTAAAATTAGTTTGAGTTTTTTAAGTATAAAAAAAGTATGGATAAACTATAGTGTAGGTTTTTTAAATTAACTGTGCCGAGCACCTGGGAAACTCGCTTGACCTATGTCACATATGCTATGATTCTAGTGGAAGTAGGATAACCCTCACTAAAGAGAAAAATTTAGGACATTGACCCTAAGACTTTGTTTATTTAAATGGAGTGAGAAGAGAGTGATTCAATGAATTTAAGAAGATTTGAAGATAAATTTTGTTGTTGTTTATTTGAGTGGATGTGGAGGTAAGTAAGAGTGGATTTGAAAATAAAGTTTGAAAGAATTAGTATAGGATTTGATTGATGCGATAGATTAAAAAAATTTACTTCGAAATCCACTCTTACTTACTTCCAAATTCACTCAAATTGTACCGTATGGACCGGTCGGCGTACCGTATGGGCCGACCGACCAGGCAGCAATCCCGAGACTCAACCAGCGTTTCTCCCATCTTACCCTTAATAGCATGGGAGGGCGGTCGCTCGCGTAGAAATTCACTTCACACGCTATCATCTGACCGACCGTTCAATACCGGACGACCTATAAGCCAAGTGGTTAAGGTAAAGGATTAAGGTAAATAAGGATTAGAGTTATTGGGCTGGAGTTGGGCCGTGATTAACTTTCACAAATCCCAAGCCCATAGCAAAAAACTATAAATACAGGTTAGAGGTGAGTGGTAGCTAGGTTGCATTCACTGCGCATTTATTACTGTTTCATAGAAATCGCCATGAGTTTACGTACTGACTTTGGCATCGGAGAATCTTTGACAGGTTCCCTCCGGACGGGCACGAGTGGACAGAGGAGTCGGACGCGAGACCGGACGACAGGCAGACAAGAAGACAAGTTGTGGAGGCCTTTGGTAACTTAGTCTCCAAATAACCGAAACACAAATAAACAACAACAAAAAATTATCTTTCAAATCCATTCAATCACCCTCCCCAAATTCATTCAAATGAACAAAGTGTAAAGTCGATTAGCTTAGAACACAGCTCGATAGTGTGGTCGAAAGGAGGGAGAAGGTAGTGATGCGAGTAGAGGCATGCAAGTGGTCTTTTCCTAAGTTTAAGTCTTGGGGCCTTATGTATTATATGTGTCTGTATTATATGTGTCGATCAGTACATATAACACGACAATCGTTTGGGTAGGAAGGAAATCGATGGATCATTATTAGAATTAGTTAAATATCTAATTAATCTAAATAGGTTAGTAATTAGGTTTAAAGAAAATTGAGATATAATTAGGTTGATCCTAATAAAAAAAATCAATAAAAAAACTAGAAATACATATAAAAAGTATGATTATTGGGACTTTTATTGTGACATTAAATGCTTTATGGATCCAACTTGGACTGACTTTAATATGAGAACACTTGTAACATGTATCCATGATTTGTTGGTGAATAGATTACTCCAACACAGAAAGAACTACATTGAAATACACAATACAAAAATTATTTTAAGTGAAATTTCACCTCTACACCTGAAACACCTCCAATTAACTCCACTACCTTATTTTGAATGTCTTTCCTTCACTATCACTTTTCTCTGTTATAACTTGATTCCCATTAAATCCATTACCGTAATCAACATTGAACCTAAAGTCTTAATCTGTATTTGAACTTGTTGCTCAATCGTCATTGAGTCTAGCATCATAAAATCCTCTAACCTTAGCATAAGACTAAAATACCTTATTCCGAAATGACCCAATTGTCATTTGTACCTCACACCACAAAAGTAATGAAATCATTTTAATAAATATAATATATTATGTACTATTGATGTAATTTTTATCTGATTAACTAAGCAACATCTGTTAGGTTCGTTAATCAAGAACCTAATGTACTCACTTCTCTTCACTCAAACACAACACAAGAGTACTGAAAACAATGATTCTTCATTCATCAAACAGTCAAAGATACAATGCAGAGAGCTTAACCTCTCCCGATCAGGATACACATTCCTGACAACCAATAGTATTTACTTCGCTAACCCCTCAACCTACCCTCTCAGCCCCTATATACAAACCTCCTAACTACCCACTCTAACTGCCTTGGCAGTTAGGTTGTGCCGGTATGTGTACCTGTTTTCCTTCTACTATATACCAGTAGAGGCCTATCAATACCCCCCTCGCCTAAAACAACCTTGTCCCCAAGGTTGAATTCAGGATACTGTTCCTGAATGGTAGCCACATCTTCCCAGGTCGCTCCCTCATGGCCTCCTTCTTGCCACTCTATCAGGACTTGGGGGACTGCAACTTCACCCAACTACCGTTGCCTCCTGTCCAAAATTCGCACAGGCCAAAACATGGGCCCCTCGACTTGCAGCTCCCTCGACAATTCCTTTTCCACTCTGTGCTCCCCCACCGCTTTCTTTAACTGAGACACGTGAAAGATCGGATGAATCCTAGCTGTCTCGGGCAACTGTAGACGAAAAGCAACCTT